ATTTGAGAGAATGTATTAATATCCAGTAGCAATCTTACAGTGTGTGTGAATAATCATACGTGTACATCTGCACTGTGCACACGTGGATTTTGTGTATCACTTTCAGTATGAGAAAATACAAATGTCACAGTGCCTGAGGGATCATGGGAAAATTATGGAAACAGATGCATCTCAAACACACGTTCACAAACAGCCGTGTAGTTCTATCCTTGTGAAGACCTCAGCCTGCTCCCACAGAACAGTGGCTGCTTGTGTGTGATGTGGTCGGTGTGACGTCGCAGTCAGTCCACGAAAAATGTAATCGCACTGAGAGGACTGAAACTTACAATGTCACCCACGTAGATGTCCAGAAAACTCCCTGTATATATACATTCTAAGTGTTTTCTTCTAACAGAGCAAAGGGCATACATGACATGCAATCTATATACGCCAAAAAGCTGCTGTGTGTGCATGTGTGTGTTTGTGCGTGCATGTCTGTCACAGGTTTAAAATCGATAACGCTGTCGGCCAGATGTTTACGCTGATGGAAATCAATGCCATTTTTACAGCTTGGATACCTGCTGCGAGTAAACGTGACAAAAGTGCATGTGTACTGCACATAATTATACAAACCCGTGTGTGTCCATGTTGGTGTGTTTGTCTGGAGTTTGTTCACAGAGCGATTCTGTAGCTTTTCTGTAAAACATTGTCAATGTGCATTTAATGATTTCTGCACAGCCAAACACTGAAATCTGACATCTAATCTTTCTAACCAATATAGAAACACGTTGTGTGCTTCTTCTTAAAATAGAGAAAAGTAGGTGTACTGCATTCGACATCTGACTGAACGCATTCAGTTTTTTCTTTATACTGCCATGTTTTATTCTGATAGTAGAACAAAGATAGAATCATCATGCATGTGTGGGAGGAAAGGGTGAGACCCTGAGCTTCAGCTCTGTGTTGGGGATGACAGGAGCAAATATGATTGGCTGAGATGAACTGGCCTCTAACCAACGTCTTACACGCTCACAAATGATTTCTATGATCACATTATTACTAATTTCAACCTGTTTCAACACTCAGGATGTCCTGTGATGTCCTTGAACTATGAAAACAGTAAAAGTGTGCCACTACTACACCCAGTTGGTGACGTTTCATAATCAGCTCACTTTCCCTGGCAGGATTCTGCTCACGAGCACAATCACTGAGGCTCCGATTCTGTCTGTGACATAAAGAAGATCGTCTGTAAACACAACAGGATCGTTTGGCCACATAATCAGATCATCTTCAGATCAGCATCACCCCCCCATCGAGGTCACAAGAGCAGAATCTGACCAATTATCATCTATAACATGCAGCAGGTTTGATACTGTTTGCTTTGGTGATTATCTATGGAAACATACTGTGGGACAAGCTTCAAAAGTAACACCAGCAAAAAAAAAGAACTGCTGTCTCCTCTGTTAACTGGTCCGACTCTCCCAGGCTGCACAGAGTTACTTGCGTTTTCTCATTCCCTCATTAAGAAACAGCCAAGAACACGAACAAGATTGTGAAAGGAAAAAACAGATCATGTTTGACATCTCCGGATGCGTAACACAGAAAATATATGTAAAAAAAAAGAAAGAAGAAAGAAATGAAACATCTCTGCTTTTCAGCAGGTGTGACACTGAGTTAAAAATACTCCGATATCCCGATTGCGCAACAATAAAGGTGACACGCTAGAAAGTATACGAAAAAATAAGAATTGTACGCCTGCTTTGCATATGTGATATTAGGGGAAAACTGCAGCACCCCACTTTTGGTATTTTTAACACTAAGTATATTCTTATCTAAACTTAGACTTTCTCATCACCCCAGGGTACAACCAAATCTGTCAAAACACATCCAGCAACACAGAGGAGCCTTAACACTGCATTTTTAGAGATACTGTCACATGGAAGTTTTAGTTTCTCAGTTTACTTCCCTCCCCTCTCTGCCTCTCGCCTCAATTTGCACAAACAATTTACTTCATTACAACTCTATAAACTCTGATATAGAATTTACATCATTCTAAAAACTGCAAAACAAATAGCTATTGAGAGCTTTAAGACAAATGACAAGTCCAGTCATCTTTAGTTGAGTAGGTAAACAAACAGCCGCCTGCTCTGAGAACACTGGCTTAATGCATAATTTATTGTAAAATCATTTCTTCATCCTATGCAGCTAACACCCAGAAGTTTTAAATAAAAACTCTCCGTGAAGATTCTCAGTCATATACAGGACATTGAAATTGAATGGAGGGACGTTGGACCTTCTTCTATTCAAGTCTTTTTCGAAAAACTTTAAAGTTTTCTCTTCTGAACTTGCGTCTACTTTGAAAACTTTCCAGACTGTTGCCCTCAGTGAGAGACATAAAAGCAAAGGTGAGTTCAAATCACTGACTGAATATAAAGATGGATGACAAGACAGCCCTGTGAAGCAGGATAGGTCTTAAACCCTGCATCCTCCATGTGAGTGGATGAGACATGGACCAAAATAAGAAGTCAGTCAATACACGTTAAATAAATATGTCTGCAAGTTTGGTTATAATGAGATATTTGATGCTATAAAAACGGGATGAATCGTCATGATTAACTGTTTCGTGATTGGTCGAACACTACTTTCACTCTGGCTCCCAATGACATCGCCAGTAGAAAATGGCGTTCCCTGTGTCTGGAATATTTTGGAAAAAAAACTTCACATCGAGAGGAAGCGGAGATGCGTCGTCCATCCTTATTGACAGTCTAACTGTACAAATGGAACTCATAAGAGAAACGGTCCCATTTTATTTTCCATGCACTCCCCCAAATGCACACAATACACATTTACACCCCCGCCACCACAAACTCACCTGCGGCGCACTGCTCCTCGTCTGCCCCGTTCTCACAGTCCCTCTCTCCATCGCATCGCCATGACAACGAAACACATTTGCTGGCAGCCCCTCCGCAATCAAACTTCTCCGGCGGACAGGTCTGTCGGCCTGTTGTGAGGGGGTGAAAGGCGGTGAGGGAGAAAGGGACAGCGAGGGGGGGGAAGCGTAGGAAAAGAAAAATGGACAGAGAATGAGAGAGGTTGGGGGGGAGCAAAGAGGGATAAAGCGGCAGGGAGAGGAAAATGAGAAAACAAATGGGGAGGAGGCAGAAGATGGAGAGAGAAGGGACAGCCAGTCAATGAAACAGTTTGATAACTTAGTTATCTTGTTGCTTGAATCGATTCCCACTCAAAGGCCTGCAATTAAACCAGACACAGAGCGACAGGGGAACAAAGAAGCAGGAAAACTGTAAAGCTGACACAACAGCCTGGACTAACAACACAGACTGAAGGAAAGACATGCAACAATCTGAAGAACACACAAAAACCAGACAAACGAGTATTATTTGTCGTGTGTATCCATGTATATATTAGATGTGCTTATTTTCATATTCTCTTCATGAACACTAAGCTCCAAATAGTTTAATTAATATAACGTTTTCTAGTCTTGATGATCACTCATCACAGTACAGCTTTGCCACACACACACACCCACACACACACACACACACACACACAGTGCATGTGAGGCACTTTCTCTATTATACATCACTCACACACGGCCGGCACAGTGAGGGGGCGTCAGGGGCAATTTGGGGTTCAGTATCTTGCCCAAGGACACCTCTGCAAGCGGAATGGGGGAGAATGATGAGACCGTGGACACTCTGGTTAGTGGACGACCCGCTCGACCTCCTCAGCCACAGCCACCCTTGAAAATGTTATATTAACACATGAGCACGCACATGAATAGCAGGACGCTACCACGCAAAGAACTGGACTAACAATCAGAAGCAACGTGGGGTTCTCTGTCTTACCCAGGTATCCTATAGGTGGACATGTGGAGATGAAATTCAATAATTCAAATCTCAAAAACTTTTAAGATTAAAACCGTATAAATGTAGGAAAACTGCAAAACCTTTCATTTGAGAAGCTGGAACTTTTTTGGTTGATTAATGAATTAAATTGACTAAACTGTCTGACGACAAACATACAAAAGAAAAATGACAAAGGCAAAACTGAAATATATTAGAACACATAGATTAAGTGATTAATAATCAGCAGGAAATGAATCAGCATCTATCTTGATTATTAATTGTTTAAGTGATTTTTCAAAGCACTCTGTGGTTCAGCTTCTCAAATAAGTGTCTTTTATGAATTGATTAATCCTGGGGTTTTAAATGATGGTGAAAGTCAAAGTGTCTTTATTACGTTTATAGACTTAATTGATCTATTAATAAAGACTTTTTACTGCATTTGAAAGCACATTTGATAAAGTGATCTCTTTTGAGTGAAAATCACTCACACACGCACACACACGCACAAACACACACACACACACACACACACACACACACACAC